ATGTCTGTCATATTTCCTTTACTTCTTCATTTCTTTTGTAAACAAATAGATTTCACATTTATTTCCTAAAACTAGTCAATTAAATGTTTTTAACATATTTTTGTTCAATCCTTTTCTTTTACAATAGTATAAATCTTGATAAATTTTCATTTTATTAACATCTGAAAGTCTTTTTCAATAGTGTTTCTTTGGATATGGTATCAGTAGTGATAGCATTTAAAAAAAAAAAAAAAAAACACAAACGATTTTGGTTTCATAAAAAATTTTGATGCGGTTTCACAGTGTGAGGATGAAACCAAAAAAAGTCTGTTTTTCGGTTAAACCAGCCATCTCTATAATATATATGTAATGAAAACAGGACAAGAGATTCTGTCTAGTAATCGTTTATTCAATTAAGAATACTACTACTCATCTGACTTGACAGCGGAAGTATACAGCTTTTATAGCTTGGATTATCTAAGAGGAGATAATCCATATTCACAACATTCTCCCCACCAAATTTCTCACTGATAGGGAAGAAAGTCCCTTAAATGTCCAGGCTTTTACGAAGTTAAATGAGTGGCCGCCTCGGCAGTCCATGATTCGTGGTTGGAGTACAATTTCGAACAGGGAGGCTCTTCAGTGTGAGCCTGTCTGTGGGCTCTAAAATACCTTGTTCGAAATGTTTCCTTCTCAGAGGAGCAGGCCGTTCATAAATCAGTCGGTCTCTGGATGAACACGTTTATTCGGTGCTAGCCCTTCATCTGTCAGGGTTTCAGGTGTTGGCCCATCCAGTGTCTGACCGGGCCTCAACGGAGACAGTGTCGTCAGGCGGGCGTGTCAGGAACAATTTCAGTGCCATGATCTTCGGAGGGGCTTCAGTGTCAGGGGTAGTTGGTCTGTCCTCAGGGGCTATCCACGGTAAAGGTATCTCTCCGGCCGGTGCTGGGTCCCTGAGAGACACATTAACTCTCTACCATCTGCATGTCGTACTAGCGGCAAAACTGAGGTTTCCTCTATAAGCTCTACCTCGTCCACCAAGGGATCGTTCTTGGTGTGATGTGCATGTCGCCTCAGAAACACAGTACCGGTAAAGAGAGCCAAGATGGAAGCGAAGCTCCCACCGAACTCCGTGTGAGGGGTGGCATTCGTGGCGGTACACAATAGGGAAATTTAATGGCGATAATGCGACAGGAAGGAGATTTTCCCAATTATCAATTGAACATCCGTTATTTGAGGCAGCCAATTGAACGGTCTTCCAAATAATGCCATTATATCTTCAGATTGGCCGTTACCCTTAGGATTGTAGGGAGTTGTCCGGCTTATAGCTACTCCTCGTTCCTGTAGAAATTGCTGAAGCTGCTCTGACATGCAAAAGAAGCCCCTCGGTCCAAAATGTATATAGGCAGGGCTCCAAAGATGGCGAACAGTGAGCAGAGGCATTGTATAATTGCAGCAGCCGATATGTCTGAACAAGGGAAGGCAAAAGGAAACCGTGAATATTCTTCGATAACCGTTAATATATATCTGTTCTTTGTTTTACTTGGAAGCGGTCCTTTAAAATCAAGATTGAGTCTTTCAAACGGTTGTGTTGCTTTTATTAAAAACGCCAGTTTGGGGGTTTATAAAACCGAGGCTTTATTTCAGCACACGTTCGACAAGAATTTGTAATTCTTTTTACCTCTTCCACTGAGAAAGGCAAGTTTCTACACCTCACAGCATGAACCATTCGAGTAATGCCCGGGTGACAGAGATTGTTATGTAAGCGTTCGGAGTTCGTCCCGCTTGATGTAACATTCAAGCATGCTCTTGACAGTGTATCAGCTGTTAAGTTCTCCTTGCCAGGTCGGTAGCTGACGTCAAAGGAGAAACAAGATAGCTCAATTCTCCACCTCGCTATTTTCTCATTCTTTATTTTACAAATAGTTTTAGAGTTGAACATAAAAGCAACTGATTTCTGGTCAGTAACAAGTTTAAAGTGGCGTCCGATCAGGTAGTGTCGCCATTTTCTTAATGCCTCAACTATGGCGTAGGCTTCCTTTTCAATTGTGGGGTGTCGTCGTTCAGCCTGTGAGAGGGTCCTTGAAAAGAAGGCTACAGGACGATCAGCTTGTTTCAAAGAAGTAGCAATAGCACAGTCTGACGATCCGTTTCAACAACCAGAGGAATATTTTTGGTCTATTGTTGTAATTGCAGGCAAAAATATCCTTTTTCAAAAATGCCTCAACGGCATGATGGGACAGAGGAAACGTCTCTACTTGTGTCAATGGATGTATCTTTTTTGAGAACGAAGCAATCCATTGAGAGTAATGAGCAAACATGCCCATAGCACGTCGAAGGGAAGGCTGGTTGTGAGGGACAGGCATCTGGAGTAAAGGTTTCAATCGATTCTGCGTCTGGTGCCATAAAACTTTGCTTATGGTATACCCCAGTAGGTTTATTTTGTCCAGTCCAAAAAAAGCATTACAAAATCGTTTAGGGTAAGGTTGTATTTATCGACGGCGGACATGAACCGTCTGAGATTTTCGTCGTGTTCCTTTCTATTATGGCCACATACTGTGACGTTGTCGATGTATGCAAATGTGCCTTCCAGTTTCTGATCCGTTATGATTTGGTCGACTATCCTTTGAAGCTGGCTACCCCATTCGTAACGCCAAAAGGAATCCTGCGAAATTGATATAGTAAACCCGTTCATTTTAAAAGCAGTGTATGGCTTGTCTCTAGGTCTAATGGCGATCTGATGGTACGCGCTTTTCAAGTCCAGAGTGCTAAACATACGATATTTGGCTATTTCTAACCTATCATTTCATCTATCCTGGGTAGTGGGAAGGCGTCCAAAAGAGTAAATCTATTTATGGTTTGGGAGTAATCTATAACCATTCTCTTTTTATGGTTGCTAGAAGTGGTTATAACTACCTGAGCCCTCCAGGGTGATTTGCTAGGCTCAATTATACCCTCCTCAAGTAGTCTTTTTTTTATCTCAGAGTCAATGATTTTTTATTATTATAAGAAAATGTTTGCTTCTCACTGCTATGGGTTTGCAGTTTTCAGTTAGGTTTTCGAAAAGTGACGGGTACTGGATTTTTGCTGTCACTAATCCACAAATTTTCAATGCGGGCATTGAACCGCCAAACATGAATTTCAACCTGTGAGTGTTGCTGCAAAAAATTGTGTCCCAGTATTATTTCAATAACAAAGGTTTTTCATTACGGATAATTTAGTGGTTTTATAGGAGATGTCATTAAATAGTAAGTCCACCAAACAATAACCACTTACTTGCGCAGACAGTGACGCGTTTTGCCATTGTTACTCTGCTGGGGAGGGGACAAAATACAATTTGTTGGTTTTTACCAAGCTTTTTTGATAAAATTTCCTGAGTTTCCCGGTATCGAGCAGGGCATTTGTAGACCTCCCGTTAATTTTCACTTTTTACAATAGTTTTTGAAAGGCAGTCGGGGAGGCGGCTAAAGTTGCAGAAGTATTTTGACGTAGTGGATCTGTATAGAGTTTTAGAAGACTTGCATACCTTTAAAAAAAATGACCAAGTTTTCCACATTTATGACAATAGTATCTCTGGCAGGGCATGAGACTCGTAGGTGTTTAGATAAGCTGCAAAATAGCAAGTGTCCTTTTTAAAGCGGCAGTGACCGATTGTTCTTGAAGCTTATGCTGAACTATCGTCATGAGGGGGACAGTAAGAACAGGTGGGTTTAAAAGTATTTACGGTGTCTGGCTGTAAATAAGAACTAGACTGTTGTATAGCACTTTAGAAGATATAGGCTTGTTCGTAAGCTGTTCTAAGTGTAAGGGTCTTATTCTCAAGAAGACGTTGTCTTATCTGAGTATTCGTAAGCCGTTAATGAAGGCGTCCAAAATGTGTAGCTCTTGGGCCTCTAATGCCGTCATTGGGCAGAAGTTGCAATCTTTGCTCAGTGTCCGAAGGCTCTTAAGGAAATGGTCCAATGTCTTGCCTGATAAAAGACAAATTCAGTAAAGTAGGTGTCTAGAAAATATCTCATTTTGGGGCTTTATGTATGTAGCGTTCAGTAAGTCGATTGCTTCTTAGTAGGTAACACAATCCGAGATAATTTCGTTGACTGTGTGAGACAGGTAGTTGGTTAGGAGCGCACGCTTATTGATGGGACGTCCCGGTCTTTCTGAATGTAGAACCTCGATGAAATTTGTAAATGTCTCCGCCAATGTTTCCAGCCCTTGTCGGCTGAATCTTTCTGGATCTGTGGTAAGTCGCTCAGGTCGCATAAATTGTTCCATTCTTTAATTGAATAAAATGTAATGAAAACAGGACAAGAGATTCTGTCTAGTAATCGTTTATTCAATTAAGAATACTACTACTCATCTGACTTGACAGTGGAAGTATACAGTTTTTTATAGCTTGGATTATCTAAGAGGAGATAATCCATATTCACAACAATATATATATATATATATATATATATATATATATATATATATATATAATGTCCCTCTTTTAATCCTAATCTGCTTGAGGTGAGTGCCATAGATTCTTGGGTTATTAATACAAGCAGTTATACTGAACATTTATTTATTTATTTTTTGTGAAATACATGTTTGATGCTTTGGCACACATTATCAGTGATGTTTTTAGTTGAGGATAATCAGGTGGTTTCATGCTCCCTCTCCACAGTGATCCAGTCAATACTGATCACATATTGACTTGTGTGCCATCTGTTAGCTATAACTCTGTTCATAGTACACCTAACACACTGTGATTCCATTGGTTTTTATAGTCCAATCACAAACTTCCAGTTCACCAACTTCTTCGCTCTTCCATAAAGAAAAAGGGAAACAAATCCAGTAACCCTATAATGTAAATTATATTAAATATTTCAATTCAGTAACAACAAAATTAATGTAGTTTTTAAACATGATTTCAGGTGCTCTTGAATGGCTGTTAACTGAAGAAGCTAAGTATGTTAATGATTCATAAAAATTTGATGGGTAATCTCTTTGTTTTGAACATTTCTGTTTTTATTTTTCAGAGCAACTGTTTTACAGTTGATGGTGTTGATGAAGAACATGAATTCGCTCGATTGAAACAGTCGATGGAAATGGTAGGATTTTCCACTGAAAGACAAAACAGGTTTGGTTCTTGTCTCATAATATTTTCCTGCATAACTTTGAATGTTTAAGATAGTTTTTAATCTGTTTGCCACTTAAAGTGGTGGTCATTGCTAATGGAATGCTTACTGTTCACAACTAGGACTTATTAAACAGTATTTTACTTTATTTTATTTTATTTTTTGACATTCTATATGAAATCAATTAGTTTTTCCTTCTGCTCTTTTCTGAGCTTGCTTAAAAAATATTTGCTGATGGAATTCAGTTTGGCAGGAAACTATTAAGTACTGCTATTGGTTCATTTGTTGGTAATTATCTTCTGTTTAATTGCTCATTAATATCATCATTATTTAGGAATTTAACTAGCAATAACATGATTAATGTCTGTTGTTAAAAGCCTATAATTTTCTAGCATTTGCATCCTCTTACTAAGGAATATTGTTAAAACTGAATTCTTGGTTTTAAAATATTTTTTTTTGTTAATAACTTGATTCACTCTGAGATATTGAACAAATGCTATCTTTTATAAGATAAAAGCGATAGTTTATTATTTCCATTATGTTAGTTTAGTAAATCAGATACTTTTATCTGTACCAACACTTAAATAACTTAATTTCTTAACAATTTTCTAAAAGTCTTCCAAATCCTTACTTGATGTACTTAGATTTTGCAACTAGAAAATGACATGCTTCTAGTTTTCTATGAGTTCTGTATACTGTTCTTTAAGATTCCATTTGGTTTTTTTTGTAAAGTGATGTAGACAGATTATAAATTTGTGTAATTAGATTTGTTGCTCTTAGAACAGTCTATTTCTGGGTTCATAACCTGTAGGGCATGTTCTGTTTGATTTTTGCACATGGGGATTATTTTCTGTATTGTTGGTTGTATTATCTGGTTGTATAATTTGATTTTCTTGTTTTTCCTCCCCCACAACAATTTCTCTCCAAATAGTTGGGAAGTAATGTTGCATTTTCTTTAACTGAAAGTGAAGCATTATCAGATGTAGTAGTAATTTCAAAATTTTATACACCTTACTCTTTTGACCTTTTTAGTTTCTGGAATATATGTTAGGCAAGACTCACTTTATCATATCCATTGCTTTTACACATTTAATATCCAATTCCATTCCACCTTGCATGTAGACATAACAAACTGTGCAAAAAGTATGCATATTACCAAGGTTACGTTTATGATCCATAAACATATCGAAGGTAGTTTTTGCAGTTCTAAACACTAATTTCTCATGTATACAGGTGTCATAATAGCATACAACCATAAGAATTTTGGTTGTTTTGAGCCAATTAGTAGAGATCTTTTGATTTCAAATAGGAATCACCAATAAATTTCTGCATGCCATTTTGATGTGGAGAATATTGGGCTGATTCATGTTTAATATGATTATTGATTAGAACGGTTTCTAAATTTTCAGAAGTAAATTTTGTGCTGTTATAGCCATATGTCTTTATTTAAGAAAATAAACCATGATTAGACTGGAATAGTTGTTGACAAAACAAAGTGTATATTTGAAAACATTCAAAGATATCAGCTCAATTGGCTAGCTAGGTTACAGTGAACAAGGTCTAATATATTTTTAGCCTGTTTGTCAGGTAATTTATTTTTTATATTGTACCATTTTGCCTTGGGTACATATTTCACATTTTGGATTTGATTCTTTGGAAATTTTCATACCTTCTACATCTTATACTTTTAAACTGTCCTTTAGATTACAATATTCAAGAATTTGATGCTACTGTTTTAGGCTGTGGGTAACAGTTTTGGAGGTTATTCCAGTATTTAGATAGTATAAGCGATCCTCTCTTTTTTAGATCATAGGTGATGCTTAATAGGGACTAATGTTATTTTTGCTACACAATTATTAGCATATCTCCAAAAGAAGGATTTGTGATTTGTATTTATGTTGTCCTATTGATGCCCTATTTTATGGTTCTGTCATGCTTTAAAAATCTTTCTTGTATTCTTGTTTGCATTGACATTATTTTTTTAAATTATAAAAATCTCTTATTCACTAATATGAAAGTTCTATTCTAAATTAAAGATATTTCTTTAAGTATGAGGAATTTTGGGGACTTGCTTATACATCTTTTTGAATTTTTTTTTTTTTTTTTTTTTTTCAATTCACCCCAAAGCAGATTTGGCAGATTAGGATACATTTTTAAATAAACTTGGCTATTAATAAATCAACTTGGAATTTAGTAATGCTGGACTTTTACGTGTGACTTGCATGTAGCCTCCAATCTGGCAAGTGCCTCCCAAATTATTTCACTTAAAATAGACACAAGTTAAAGTCTTGTATAAATATATTTAAAAAATACATCTGAAGTGCAGAACTTAAAATCCTGTCTCTTTTGACTTTTATAACCTTTAAATGTTATTGTATTTTAGAATTTTCCTCAACATTTTACTTTCTTGACAATGTATCCAAGAAAAAGTAATCTGAACCTAAATTATATTCATAAGAATTTAGATTTTACAACCTTGGTGATCATATTTTATTTTGTTCCTTGTATACATAAATTGTTTGCTATGCATCAAAACTTTAAAAGCACACAACTGATTAAAAGTTATAGCATTTGCAAACCTGTAGGTATCAAAGAGTTGTTTCTCTCTCTTTTTTTCCCCCAAATGAAATATGTTTTTCAAAGAAATTATTATTAATTGTGAGTTTAAATCATTATATATAGAGAATTTGTACTGTAAATGTCCTAAGATAAGCAAAAGAACCTTAAAATATATTTTTATTTTATTTTACAGAATTTTTTCTGTCTTGTCTGCTGTTTTGCACCTGGGAAATGTTGAGTTCAAGAAGGTAATCTTATTTCTTTTAGCAATCACCTGACCTTCTCAGATTATATACATTGAAATAAAATTATTATTTTGTGCTTAAGTTTTATAAAATTTGTAAATGCTTCAACATTTGTCATCTATTCAAGTTACTTCTTTATTATAAAGAATATTTTGACCTTAAAGTTTTAGTAATATAGAAAATTCTGGTAATCTACTTCATGAACAAATTTTAGCAAATAAATGACCAAGTTGAAAATTGTTTCCATGGATAATGCTTGTAATTGTTGACTTGATTTTCTCTCTCATCTATTTTCCTTAATGATTATTTCCAGATGATTTTGTTACGCAGATAGCAAATTCAGAATATTAGAAGAAAAATATGCACTATGATTCTCATATATCTGGCATGAGATGGCAAAAAGGAAAGACTTGTAGATAATTTTTAGTTTCTATCCAAGATGTTGACAACACCTAGGCAAGAAATTTTAGAAAACACTAGCAAACAAAACTAAAAATGGCATTTATTTAGAGAAAATCTTATCAAGAAAAAAAAAAAAAACAAAAAAAAGAAACAAACAAAAAAAACTTGTCATCTGTGTAAGGTCTGAAGTAATTTCACCAGGTTAAATTAGATGATGAAATATTGAAACCCGACTGTGAAATATACCCTGAATCTTCTCTTTTAATTAATTTGCAATAAAAGGAGATGTCATGTGCTTTTTGCCTGAAGACAGAAAGCTCCTAAAACAATTTTAACAAAGACCAAGAGAAAGAAGAAAATGAAACAAAGGTTCTTTGTATCACAAACAATTTGAAATGTTTGTTTTGCTTACAACACACCAGTGTTTGTGGTCCCTTGTAAAAATAACTGTGAGGAAGGTTCTTTGGCATTTGTCATCAGTGAATATGAATGACAAAGAGAAATGTGTCACCAGTTGTCACTAGGCAAGTTCTCTCCTTAATAACAATAATAGTTAATTAAATTATTAACCATTAAAGTGTATGAATTTTTATATATTTGTTTGTAGAATGTAACAGTGAAAGTAAGTTTGCTGTTGTAAAATTTAAGTTGACCTGAATATAAATTAGCACCTGCCTTGGAGGTACAGTAGAGTAATGTGTGGTTCGGATTGAGGAATCGGAGAGCTGAGTTCAAATTCCAGTTGAGTTCATTACATTCACTTATGTGCTAATACCCTTGGGAGAGCTATGGGTAACTAGTAAGACAGACTGGATTTTATAGCCTTGGCAGGCAACCAGTCTAGAGACTTGATAAAATCACCCATCTCCCAGTCTGGCCTGGGCTACCGTGGGTATGCATCAACTCATGAAAATGCACACTGGCTGAAATTCTTGAGTTAGGCATTCTGCCACATCCAAAGTGTTTTTTTTTTTTTTTTTTTTTTTTTTATTTTATGTACCTTGTTAAAAGTTAGTTTCTTCTTCCCTCCTACAGAAAGGAGATCTCCATCATGATGAGTCTGTGGTTATTAGAAATGAGCAAGTTATCACTGTGATATCTGACCTGTTGAAGGTAAGGACTGTTTTTTCTTAATTTATTGAATAATTACACAGGGAAATTATTTTCCCATTTGTGCCTGTATTTGCAATAAGCAAAAGTTTTCTATTACTCAAAAATATTTCTTTCTCTACTTAATGAATATTTTTTTAACAATGTTGGTTTTCATTCAAAAAACTTGGATTCTTTTGAATACTGCAGAATTTAATCAATTAATATTAATCTTCACATTTTCCTTAACCTTTTAAAAGAAAATAGTTTTTCTTATTTTGTAAATGTTTTCCAATTGATTACTTATAGTAGCAAAATATAGTAGCTGGTTATTCTACTTTTTGAGTGTGTGCAGATGCAGGATAGTTGCTGTATTGCAAGAGTATTTATAATGGATTTTATAGATAAATTAAATCATCCTTGACAGAAAAATTTTGTTTTCTTTGCCTAGTGTATAACTAAACACATCTAGCTGAAACTTAGCCCGTTTTATAACATTTTGTACAATTGTAAAGTTTTGTTTCTCTTTGCATTTTATTAGTCATAGTCTCATGTATTTTTAGTGTCTGCTTGGATAATTTAAAATTTGTGCCTATTCTGGGTTCAATTGTCATAGTCCCTTTTAGACTGTCAAAATAGCCCATAAGAATGGCCACAGTGAAAAGGAAAATAAGTTCAGAATGTGGTGAAAGTGGGAGGCTTTTTCACAAAGAGTGAAGTGAAATTTTTTTTTTTTTTTGTTGTTGTATATACAAGAAGTCAGTTGTGCACATATTAAGCACCATTTTGAAAGTAATCATCAGAATTTATGCTCAATGACAGATGAAGAAAGAAATGTAATTATTTGCAGAGAAGTAAAGCCACAAGAATAACAATGTGATAAATTTCAAAAGGATGTTTAAACCAAAAAACAAGAACAATATTTCTGCATCCTGTTTTCAGTTACACTCTAATATTGATAAGCATGGGAAGCCATGGTTAGTAGTTATTTAAAAGTGGCCTTTTTGAACTGCTCATATTTTTTGTTTGAAGACTTTCAGGAGATGAGATCCTTGCCAGTTGCTAGAAATATGGTCAAAGAGAGAATAATTGCTACCTAGTAAGATGTAACTGTGCAGGCAGATTTTCAATTTGTTTGGATGAAAGTACAGACATTACATAAGTTGCTCATTCAGAAAACATTAGCAACTGAGATAGACAAGTTTCTCATTAAAAAAAATATCGTTACATATGTGAGTGACCCGTTTATGTTTATGAAATATTTAAAAGAACCAAAAATGACCTGGAAACTATAAAGACTCACTATCTCTGGTCTAGATAAAGGGCAGTTTGAGGATGATGTGAGTATTTTTCTTCTTTCAGCTTGAATCCATAGTCCTGAATCCTTCTGAAAACCTCAAACATTTTTCTTGTGTTCTGGGTTTCCACTTTTCAGCAAAATATCATCTAGATAAGTGACTGCAAAGTCAAGTTCACTAAGCACTGTATCCATTACTTGCTGAAAAATAGCTGAAAGCCAAATGATTGAATTTATACATTCCTCAATCTGTGTTTATCATAAGTAATTTGGAACATTTGTTGTCCACTTCACTCCGCAGATAGCTGTTGCTTAGGTCAATTTTCAAAGTTATCTTGACGCACTTTTTTAATGTGTGACAAACTGCTTACTTCGATATCTTTGGCATCTTGTCGAACCTTTATAAACCTCTGTGACTATATCTTCTAAAAGGTTTTGAAGCAGCAGTTCTCAAAGCAGCAAATTTGTTGGCTTTCACAACACAAAGAAAGAAAATCACTTGTAACGCGTCAGGAAAATAACCATCAACGCCGTGAGCTAAAACTGCCTGAATTTTCTTTCTTTTGACATCCCTGATAAATTTGCTTTTGAGAATGCTTAATCTTCAAGCTATTTTGGCAATCCTTCCCGCAGATCACACAAAAAAACACAAATATTTTTTTCCGGGGTACTTGATTATCTTGTTCACTACACTCCCCTGTCACATAAGTGACACTATGCGGTGGGCCTCTTTATTCTTAATTTTATCGGAGGGGGCGACTGTTGGAGGAGATTGTGTGTTATATTCTGAGGTTTCTTCTGATCTAACAACCTCATGCACAGAGTCTTCATCATCTGAAGAATGTTCTAAAGATTCTTCTTCTGAGGATTCTTCTGGTCTGACAACCTCATTGAGAGTCTTCACCATCTGAAGAGGTGCTAGCCCTATTTCAGATGGTAATTGTTTGTTCACTTTCTGAGCACTCACTGCTAGTGTCACTTGTTGACGATTCTGTCCTTTTCAGTGACAAGTCCTTTATGTGTCTGGGCATGCCATCAACAACACAGAGATATATTTTGCTTAGTCCAGTGACATGCCCCACCCGACACCGGGTTGTAAATCGCTATGTGGGATTTCACCACACGCGATTGCCCAACTACAATTTTTTCATTTTTGTTTGTTCAGTTGAACGTCGCAGTGAAATTTTTTTAGAAACGGTCTTTGTACTGATAAGACTTTATTACGACTGAGGGTAAACATTATTGTCTCGGAGTAACATTGTACCAATACACTGAAAAACTGCCATTATGGAACACACTTACAGCAGCGCATTCTGAACCTTTGATGTCTGGCGACATCTTAAAATAAATGCCATTCCTGATGGGACATACTTCCAAAGCAAAATTGAGGTGTACTTATACGAAGCCACAAAATCTTTTGAATAGTCCACCGCGGAATGCAGTGTATACATTCAGTGAGGAGTTCCATCGGAGGTCCACGTTCAAAGAACAATGACCCCAAGTGGTCAATAATAAATAAAAATCACTTGTAACGCGTCAGAAAAAATAACTCACGAACGCCAGAGCCAAAAACTGCCTGAATTTTCTTTCTTTGTGTTGTGAAAGCCACAAATTTGCTTTGAGAACGCTTTACTCTTCAAGCTATTTATATAATCCTCCCGCAGATCGCACACAAAAATATTTAACTTTTTTCCAGGGTACTTGATTATCTATATATTCACTACAGTTTTGTAAAGTCAGATTGGGTTCGTTTTCAAGTTTATTTAAAACCCTTCTCCTGATTTCAGCATCTTTTGTTGACACCAACCCTTGAACAAATATCAGCCATTTAAAATTGTTAGAGCTTAATTCTGCCAGTTTGAACCTCTCACACTGATTCTTCACAATGCTTCATCTTCCATGCATTTCTATCTTTTATGGAACAATGACATCTTTGAGCTGAACACTTCAGAAAGAAAAGTAACTGTTTCTTTAAATGTTAGGTCACAATTTTTTTCAGTAATATGTAATTTACAAACTTTCTGTGTTAGACAGCGCCTAGTTTCCTTAGCACTAGTCTGGCCTTTTTGTGGTCGGACCAATTTGCACAGTCCGTTTTGTAAAGGTCTTCATATCTACAGAAATACAACAAAAATGTTACTGCTTCTTCTGGCATATAATTGAATTCAGCAATCACATTTACGATAATGTCCTATGAAAAAAAAACCCTGGATTTTCATTCTCTGTTGTTGTTCTACAGGCAATTCTTCGAATTTTTCAAGTCTTTGTTTGCAATGTCTCTATTGTTTGTCTTGTTGTTTTCATATTTCCAGTAAAGCTGTTTTAAAATTCTACATTTGTACTGTTAGGTGAACTAACTTTTCACAAAAGTATATTTGTTTTTTATACAACTATCATTCAAAAACACTTTAAATCTTCCTACTAATTAACTTCCAATGTAACACCTTTACACTGAGAAAAGGCTCTCAACAATACATGATTTTTGTTTTGTAAATTAAAAAATACAATTTTTCAATTTCATGTATCTTTCCAGTTCTTTAGTTGGAATAATATCCCATATTTTTCTGAATGTTGTATTTCGAATATCTTGGTTATATCCACATAATCCTTGGAAAATCCTTGTAGCCAAAAAATTGCTTTTTAGCTTTGGTAATTTCTTGATCTTCGTTCACCAATGTATCCTTGGTGAATTTTTACAGAGTTTTGCTGATATCTTTGTTCGTAGGATATCGTATTCGTGAATGTTTACATGAGTTCTGTTGAAATCTTTGTTCACCAAACGTTGTACTGGTGAACATTTACTTAAATTCAACCAAATCCTCATTGCCAAAATGTAACCTTTTAAAGGGTTACTGAATGAGGAATGACCAAAACGGAGGTTGGAAATGAAATGGTAATCTTTATAACATCAACAAAATACAATACTCACCAGCAGTAGGAAGTAGGTAAACCACTGCTAGTAGTGGACTACTTAGACAGCATATAGATATTTATTGTGATTTTACATACAATTTTGGCACAAAGACAAAAAGTGAGGGGTTAAGGCTGGTTGTCACTAACTATCTTATACCTAGCTAATCCGATTCACGACCCATTCACTCATTACGATTTGCCCATTCACCACAAAAACTCATCCATCACCAATCAATCCTGCATACACCATAATACCGCATTCTCTCAAAGGGGTCCTAGAAAACGCGCCACATGTCATAAAAATTTAATGATTATAAATTATATATAAAAATCTATGATGAATAATGACAGGGGAGGGAATGAACCCCAAAACAAACTAAATACAAACACAAGGTAAATGAAACATAACTGATGTTAGTAGGGCTCATCTAACCCTCAAAACAGAGAGGCTGCTGTATTCTGCCCATGGGACAAAATCAAGAAGCTCTCTCACTAAGGGAGTGGGAAAGATGAAAATATAGATGGACATGGGAAATAAAAAAGCTGAACCAGTTGAGATGAAAAGTGGGGCCAATACAAACTGGGGAGGTTGGGAATCTTGACTTGGATCATAACCAAAGAGGTAGCCGGGAACAGGCCAGGAACAACATTTACTTACATTAACTAGGTACACAAAAGGGGAGTGCTCTGCAGAAAATCACTCCAATGTGACGTAGGTTGACCTAGAAGAGATATTCAAGGCTAGCCCCATTCAAACAAACCAAGCTCACCTCAGTCACCCACCTTTCACTGAAGACTGTCAGATGCAAGCGTT